GTCTCAGGAAAACATTACTCAATTCACTTTAAACGGTGAGGTTTTCCTTCTATCGCTGGCCGCTTGCAGTGTGGAACAGGCTCAGCCTCTTCCTCCTGAGTTTGCAATGACACCGATCATATGTTCAGTGGCCTTCAGCTGGCTATGTGTGCTCCCCATAGGAAGTTTATAACCAGGAAGAGGAGTTTTATGCAGAATACAAACTGGGAGTATTACATGACTACCTCTTGAGGCTGCGGAGCTGTGCAAACAGCATTGCTTTATCTGACGCGGTGGCTTCGGATTGGTCTGTCTGTTAGCCCCAGGGCTGACTGGAATCACAGAACGGGGACATCAGTGTCGTACCCCAGCTGCTGCAGAAAGCTACAGGAAGAAAGGGAGATTTATGAGTATTTGGGTTCGACTGAACCAAGGATGCAGGAGCTACACAGCAGGGAGCCTGGCGACTCGAAATTGTAGGCATTATGCAAAAAGAAAATGCAGAGTGAGGTGTCCAGGGAGCCCTCCAGCCGCAATAGGGCATCTTCGCAAAATCTCCAAAGAATCAATTTAACAGTTATTAAAGAACACCACCCCATTGTTGCGAATGCTGAACTTTATGCCGCCAGAAGGGATACTGGGATTCTCAGGGAAACATCTGTCATTTAGTAGTGACAGTGACCTCAGCACTGACAAGCAATTCAAGTCTCAGCTGGGAAGGATGAGTTAACCCTTTGTGGGCAGCCAAGCTGAGAGGACTACCATGAGCAATTATTGATATTTCTTGTTTGCCCAAGATCTTTGACGCCCAAGGAGAAAGACTATTATAACTAGATTAGTCCTGCTAAATAAGATATTATTTCCTTCCTATTTTATCAAATCGTCAGGTCTTGATTTTGTTAGTTTGGGTCAGAAGCCTACACAGACCTTGAGAAGAAATGAGTGCGTACAATGTAACCATCAAAATAGATTCTGAAAATTCAAGGCTACGTCGATTCTCTTCAGTAGGATAGCCACCAGTCAGATTCCCATGCCCCTGTAAACAACCTAACGACACTCTAGGGGCCACACATAAAGACGTGAAGGCAGAGAAGGCCGAAGGAGGACTGTCCGGGAAAAGGGACGGGATTAGAGGTGTGGGAGATGAGAGAATAAAGGGAGTGATTGATGGAGGAAGGTCATTGGTTAAAAAAAAATAAAGAAACTGCTTGGCTGGCCCTCATAGGTTAAAACATAGGTGGGAGGAGTAAACAGAACAGAATGCTGGGAGGAAGAGGAAGTGAGCTCAGAGAGACGCCATGCCCCGCTCCCGGGCAGACACACTCAATGAAGCTCCGACCCAGGATGGACATAGGCTAGAATCTTCCCGGTCTTGGTAAGACCGGTGCTCACAGATTATTAGAGATGGGTTGATGGGGATATCAGAATTAGCCAGTAAGGGCTAGAGCTAAAGGGCCAAGCAGTGCTTAAATGAATACAATTTGTGTGTTGTTATTTCGGGGCATAAGCTAGCCAGGCGGCCAGGGTGCTGGGGACGCAGCCCCGCCGCTCTTATTACTACAGGTGATTACTCTCAAAATATATTACGTGTACATATAAAATGTCAATTAATCCATTCATCATATATATATATATATATATGTATGCCATAAAAACATTTTAAAAACTGATTCAAAGTAAGAAATCTTTAAACCCAAATGTCTGTATTAATTTTACACACAGATTTGCCAGCCAACACTTGCTTTACTCTTTATCTCTGGTTACCAAAAGTAAAATAAAATAAACTCTGGTTTTGGGTAACAGTAGAAAAAGTGAAGTAGGAGCAGCCCCGGGCACCTGACAAAACAAGGAGCTTCCTTCTTTGCCTCTTTGGAGAACCCAGCATGAGAGGCTATTTCACCTTCATCTCGCTGATGAGAAATGAGGTCGTCTGCTCACACGCCTTTCCTGAGACAAAAATGATGCTGCAGGTCTGGTAACAAACTGTACATGATGTCGTCATAGGAAAGACGCATGGTCACCACGTCAAAGGGAGGTTCTGCTACTGCCACTCCCAGGCTTGTCAAGCACCAGGACCACGCAGCCAACTGTGTACTTGGTAACACCATTTCAACGTCCCAGAGGCAAAACCAACTCAACATACTCCCAAGTGATTTAGCATCTTCCTCCTAAGTCTAAATCTCTTACCTCGGGAAACAGTCTCAGTATCTCTCTGAGTCTGGAAATAACCAGGGACAATGTAAGGGCTCATGGGGAAATACACAGAAGCTGGAAGAAGTGCAACATCTAAGTCAGTGTTTTCTACTTTATTCATTGTTTCTCTGTCTCAATACACTGCAACATTATTCTATTCATTCAAAATAAAACCAGGAGCAGCAGGTTTGGAGAAAAATTCCCCATCCAGATGTAAGCTCCCTCATCAGTGTCGAGCACCATTTGTTTATCTGTTCAGACATTTTTCCTATGAATAAACTATCTTTTCAGGCTGTTATGCAAACAGCTTGGATTTTATGTATTTATACATGTATAGAGTTTCCCAAATGGGATTCTAGTATACAGTGCCACTGGCTTTTTCTCTCCCAGGTCAGCATATGCAGCCCACTTCTTTCCAGTGGCTGGAGCATGCCTGTCCCATCACTTAGCCATTGTTCTCACTGATGAGCCTATTTCCAGCTTCCTGTCACTACCGGGAGCGCTGTGAAGACCAGCCTTACAGAGATTTCAGCAATTCTTAAACCAGTGCCCGCCTCCCGCCCCATTTGATCATTTCTGGTGCTGGAGGGCATCCTGCCATGGATGACGGGGTGGATTTCTTTTATGAAAAGCGGTGCACCATCTTCCTGTCAGAACACAAAAGCATTTGCTTCAGTATAGCTCCCGTACCTTTTCGATTGGAAGCTAACAGTTCCCCTCATTCCTAGGTCTTCAGACCTTAGAATTTCAGCAACTGTGTCCTCTTTACAGACACAGCTAAATCCAAACTGCCCACTGCATCTGGGAAAGGACACTTCTTCACCAACAGAAGCCATTGCCGATCTCTGATCTAACTGTAGACAATGATTTAATAAACTCACCTGCATTTCCAAACATTCCTTCTGTTACTCTTCCATTTCCTTACGCTATCTTTGGCCCTCAGCACCCATCCCTGCCACCCTTAGGCTAAACTCACAAGCTAGGCCCTTGACACTCCTGCCCCAGCCCCCCAAACGCTACATTTACAGCTGTAGACCATGCTGTTTAGCTTCTGACTAACTTTAATGTACCAAATCCGTCACTTTTTCCTTAGGACTTCTGGGGTGTGGATCTTGCCTAGAAAATTCTCTGTTCTGAAACCAGAAGTGACTTTGAGCACTGTTGTGTGCCCCTCCATCCACTTGAAATTTCTGTGCATTGTGTGCAATGTCTTTAGCTCCTTCTTCAGCTGTTTTCCCCAATGACTCTAACATACCACTGATGTGCGTCTCTGGGAGTTCTTGCTGCACTGTTTTCTATGAAATAGAAGCTCCTTGTCCTCACTGCTTTGTAAGCTGCCTTTGCACGCGGATTCCTGAGCCAGCTGCAACTGCATTGACCTAATGGTGTTGCTGTCTGTCCTTCCTACAGAACCTCTTGTGCAGCCAGCCACTGCCTCCGAATCGAAGCATCCCTTCCTACAGAGAGGGCCTTAAGACTCAGCAAGTGTAGGGAGCTCAGAATCTTACTCGATTCACAAAGTCTCTCCCTGGGGTTATGTGACAAGCAGTTTATGGGCAGATGTGCTGTACCAAGGAGCCAAGAGGTTATGCAGGAAACTCCAGGGATGCAGATTTCTTGAGTGGCCACCACGCTGGGGTGCACTTTCTGGTGAGGCAACCGCCTTTGAGTTATGCTCTGGTAAGTGACCCCAACAAACTCACTGGTTCACTAAGCTAGAGTGGGTGAAATCACTTCTGGATCTGCCTGCAGTGCCCTACGTGGCATTTACACAACAGAACCCCCAGCTTTCCATCCGAAACCCCACCCTTCCTGGAAGCTAACTGGAAGTTCCCAGGGCTGCTTTAATCAGTAGGACTGGTACAGAGCAGTTCCAGGGCTGCTGTGAGGCAGAACCGAGCAGCCTCCTGCTTTCCCTCCTTCTTCCCTGGGTAGCTAGGCTCGAGGGGGCTGCCTGTGACATGGTGACGTGCTCAGCGGCCCTGCGTCAGCTGTTCAGATTTAAGACCAATGTTCATGTGTGTATTTGCTACCACTCGCGTGCTTGGTGCCAGAGGCCAGAAGAGGGTGATGGATCGATCCCTTAAAACTGGAGTTAGACAGTTGTAAGCTACATTGTGGGTGCTGGCAACCCACAGCAGGTCCCCTTCAAGAAAAGCAAGACACTTCAACCTTCCATAAGCCACTGTTATTTTTAACTTTTACCCATAGCCTATATTAGAACAACTGGAATGTAAATTGATTAATCTACTTGAAACAAACTGACATATAAACAATCATTTTTTTAATTAGAAAAATCATTTATTTCTGCTCCTTTCATACATCATATTGTCCAGGAAACAGTCTCCCGTGTGTGTCTGAAATGGCAGAGTGCCACACACACCATTTAAAGGAAAAGCACCGCTGGAGGAACTGACCAGTTGTCCAAGAATCTCAGCTCTCACGATATACTTCTCAATTTGTATTAATTTCTGAAAATCAGAAATATCATGTCCGAAAAATAATAGGGAGGGTTGTAAAAAATAATCACTTTATTCAATACCAGCGTATTAGAAATAGAGTCTATTTTCTTTAGGAAATAAAAAACTAAAAAGACAATGCCACCTAACATAGTTGGTACAGAAGAATAGGTCAGCAGAAAAATACCGTAATGAACTTGTCTCTGATACATCAATTCCAGTCCTAGCTTTCGTATGCTCAGCGCTGCTTCAACTCTGCTCTTCACTCTTCTCCATGCCACAGAAGGGAGTGGCTCAGCCTTAAAAGCTTCACTAACAGGAGCCAATCCAGGATTCACTGTTTCTTCTCAAAAGGCACTGACCCAGCAGGTTGCCCCGCAATTTCATTCTCATGAATACTCTAGCCATGAAGAAACTCAACAGGACACAAAGCCAATGAAGAGAAGAAGAAACCTATTGAGTTTTAGAATATTTGGAGCATTGGAACGGCCCAGAATTATGAAACCTAAACCTCCCATTGTGAACAGGAAGCTAGATGCAAGCCCTTTCATAATATACTGTCCGTTTACTCTGCAAGCCAAGAAAGCTACCGGTTTCTGATGTCCACGTTCATCAGTCCTTGAGCCAACACTTGGAGGTTCAGCAATAACATCATAGATTATTCCTCCAGTAATGAGGAAGTAAGACACCACCACCAGGGTGTACACCATCATGGCCGACGGCATGCACACGCAGGGCGGCTTCTTTAGCTTCAGGTTGGGGCATTCAAGTATTAAAAATGGGACTTGGTACAGAGTCTCTATGTCGGCGGCAGCATGGCAAGCCCTCTGGCCTCCAGCCTCCCGTGCTGCCCGGAAACACAAACAATCATTTTCTAATAGATAGGAATATGAACTAGGCAGTAATGGTGCACTAATCCCAGCACTTAGTAGGCAGAGGCAGGCAAATCTCTGAGTTTGAGGCCACCCTATTCTACAGAGTGAGTTCCAGGACCGGTTCCAAAAGCTACAGAGAAACTCTGTCTCACAGAGAGAAAAAAAAAAAAAGACAGGAATACAGGTTGTTTTGTCTACTCAAGTATTTCATATTCTCCATTAAAATATGTAGCGTGAGAATCAACAAAACAGAAACAAAGAAAGCAATAGAAGAATCAATGAGCCAAAGAAAAGGTTCTTCGAGAAAATCAGCAAAATAGACAAACCTTTATCCAAACTAACCAAAAGGCAGAGAGAGAATATCCAAATTAACAAAATCAGAAATGAAAAGGGGGACATAACAACAGACATGGAAGAAATCTGGAAAATCATCAGGTCATACTTTGAAAACCTGAACTCCAAGGAATTGGAAAACAAAGGAATTGGACAATTTTCTGGATAAATATCACTGACCAAAATTAAATCAATACCAGATAAGTAAATTCAACAGACCTATAACTGCTAAAGAAATAGAAACAGTCATCAAAAGTTTTCCAATGAATAAAAGCCCAGGACCAGATAGTTTCAGCTCAGAATTCTACAAGATTTTTTTGTTTTTATTGAGCTATGTATTTTTCAGTTTCTTTATACGGTATATTACATTGACAGATTTTTGTGTGTTGAATGATCCCTGCATCTCTGGGACGAAGCCTACTTGGTCATGGTGGATGATTTTTCTGATGTATTCTTGGATTCGATTAGCCATTATTTTATTGAGTATTTTTGCATCAAAGTTCATGAGTGTGATTGGTCTATAATTCTTTCTTAGTAATGTCTTCATGTGGTTTGGGTATCAGGGTATTGTAGCCTCGTAAAAAGAGTTTGGCAACATTCTGTTTCTACTGTGTGGAACAATTAGAAGAGTTTTGGTATTAGTTCTTTTTTGAAAATCTTGTAGAACTCTGAGACTCTATCTTATACCTGTAAGAATGGCCAGGATCAAAAATACTGATGACAACTTATGCTAGAGAGGATGTGGAGTAAAGGGAACACTCCTCCATTGCTGGTGGGAGTGCAAATTGGCACAGCCCCTTTGGATATCAGTATGGCAATTTCTCAGAAAATTAGGAAACATCCTACCTCAAGACCTAGCAATTCCATTTTGGGGTATATACCCAAAGGATGCTCAATCTTACCACAAGGACATGTGCTCACCTACGCTCATAGCAGCACTGTTTGTCATAGCCAGAACCTGGAAACAACCTAAACGCCCCTCGATTAAAGAATGGATAAGGAAAATATGGTAATTTACACAGCAAAACAAACAAAAACATAATGACATCTTGAAATCTGTCAGTAAATACATGGATCTAGAAAACATCATATTGAGTGAGGTGACCCAGACCCAGAAAGACAAATCACATGTACTCACTCACAAGTGGCTTTTAGACCTAAAGCAAAGATAATCCAGCCTACAATTCACAACCTCAAAGAACCCAGACAACAAAGAGCTCCCCAAGAGAGACATGCATGGATCTAATCCACATGGGAAGTAGAAAAAGACAAGATCTCCTGAGTGAATTGGGATCATGGGAGAAGACAGAAAGGGAGGGGTAGTGTAGGGGGTCCTTCTGTTTATGTGTTGCTTTCATTGGTTATTCAATAAAGAAACTGCTTGGCCTGATAGGGCAGAACTTAGGTAGGCAGGGAAGACAGAACTGAATTCTCAGAGTCAGAAAGCAGCCATGGAGACGCCAGGTCAGACATGCTAAATCTTTCCCAGTAAGCCACAACCTCGTGGTGAACACAGATTAATAGAAATGGGTTAAATCAAGATGTGAGAGCTAGCCAATAGGAGACTAGAGCTAATGGGCCAGGCAGTGTTTAAATGAATACAGTTTCCGTGTGATTATTTCGGGTGTAAGACAGCCGGACAGCCAGGACAACAAGCAGCCCATTCCTCCTGTTACAGAGGGGGCAGGAAGGGAAAGGACCGGAGAAAAATATATAGCTCAATAAAAACAACTTAAAAATATGTAGCCTCTGTTCTTGAGTTCTCAGTAGTCCTCATTGTCCGCTATGTTCAGAGAGTCCGGTTTTATCCCAGGCTTTTCCAGACCCAGGCCAGCTGGCCTTGGTGAGTTCCCAGTAAAACATCCCCATTGTCTCAGTGTGTGGGTGCACCCCTCGCGGTCCTGAGTTCCTTGCTCGTGCTCTCTCTCCTTCTGCTCCTGATTTGAACCTTGAGATTTATGTCCGGTGCTCCAATGTGGGTCTCTGTCTCCTTTCATCGCCTGCTGAAGGTTAATATTCAGGAGGATGCCTATATGTTTTTCTTTGGGTTCTCCTTATTTAGCTTCTCTAGGATCACTAATTATAGGCTCAATGTCCTTGGTTTATGGCTAGAAACCAAATATGAGTGAGTACATCCCATGTTCCTCGTTTTGGGTCTGGCTTACCTCACTCAGGATAGTGTTTTCTATTTCCATCCATTTGCATGCAAAATTCAAGAAGCCCTTGTTTTTTACTGCTGAGTAGTACTGTAATATGTATATATTCCATACTTTCTTCATCCATTCTTCCATTGAAGGGCATCTAGGTTGTTTCCAGGTTCTGGCTATCACAAACAATGCTGCTATGAACATCATAGACCATATACTTTTGTTGTATGATAAGGCCTCTCTTGGGTATATTCCCAAGAGTGGTATTGCTGGGTCCAGGGGTAAGTTGATTCCGAATTTCCTGAGAAACCGCCACACTGCTTTTCAAATGGCAATGGGTTTCTGATCCTACTGCACGCACTGGCTTTGTGGGAGCCTAGGCAGTTTGGATGTTCAACTTACTAGACCTGGATGGAGGTGGGGGTTCGTTGGACTTCCCACAGGACAGGGAACCCTGATTGCTTTTCGGGCTGGGGGGGGAGACTTAGTTGGGGGAGGGGGGGGGGAAATGGGAGGCGGTGGAGGGGAAGAGACAGAAATCTTTAATAAATAAATAAATAAAATAAAAAAGGTGAACCCAAAGAAAAACATATAGGCATCCTCCTGAATAATAACCTTCATCAGGCGATGAAAGGAGACAGAGACCCACATTGGAGCACCGGACATAAATCTCAAGGTCCAAATCAGGAGCAGAAGGAGAGAGAGCACGAGCAAGGAACTCAGGACCGCGAGGGGTGCACCCACACACTGAGACAATGGGGATGGTCTATTGGGAACTCACCAAGGCCAACTGGCCTGGGTCTGAAAAAGTCTGGGATAAAACTGGACTCTCTGAACATAGCGGCCAATGAGGACTACTGAGAACTCAAGAACAATGGCACTGGGGCTTTTGATCCTACTGCACGTACTGGCTTTGTGGGAGCCTAGGCAGTTTGGATGCTCACCTTCCTAAACCTGGATGGAGGGGGCTGGTCCTTGGACTTCTCACAGGGCAAGGAACCCTGATTGCTCTTTGGGCTGACGAGGGAGGGGAACTTAATTGGGGGAGGGGGAGGGAAATGGGAGGCGGTGGCGGGGAGGAGGCAGAAATCTTTAATAAATAAATAAATAAATAAAATAAAACCACACAAAAAAAATATGTAGCCTTTTTCATGACTCATCCTTCCTTCCAGCTCATATCTGTAGCATGGAGTTTACATTTCTGTTGTAAATGGAACTTTAAATTTTCCTCAAACTACCTTTTTGATCTTTGAAACAAGGTTTCTCTGTGTAGCTCTTGCTGTCCTGGAACTTGCTCAGTAGACCAGGCTGACCTTGAACTCCCAGAGATCCGCCTGCCTCTGCCTCCCAAGTGTTAGGATTAAAGGCATAAGCCATCACTGCTGCTTCAAACAATTAATCTATCAGTAATAGTTTTTCAACTGATATTTGGTGATGTTGCCTCCATAATCATCCTGCCTGAAAAGTCTACAGTGTCTTTCCCTAACATTTCTCAGGTTAGGTTAATTTCAGCAGCATAGTCATAATGGTTCAGAAAAGCCATAGTTGTCCCCCCACACACACATGTGTGTAGGCACATGGAGGGTGAGAGCTGGCTCCTGTGGAGGCCCAAGGCTACCATCAGTCACTCCATCACACTCATCTTATTCTTTGGAGCAGGGTCTCTCACTTGTCCACACAGCTAGTCTGGGCTCACCAACTAGTTCCTAGGATCTCATCTGCACTTTCTTTAGAGTGCTGGATTTATAGGAGGCTGACCCACACAGCAACTGTTCACACAGCTGCTGGGAACCAAGTCTGGTCCTCATTCTTAGCCAATGGTTTACACACTGTGCCATTTCCCTAGTCCTAGAAAATTTAGTTTTAAAAGCTTAATTTTGGCTGGGATGTGGCTCAGGAGCTATGAGTGCTTATTACACAAGCATAAAAACCTAAGTTCAAATTTCTAGAACATAAACATCCAAGTGTGGGCACACACAGGCTGTAACTCCAACACTGTGAGGGACAGAGACAGGAGAATCTCTGGGGCTTACTGACTACCACCCTAGCCCCAGCTGCAGTGAGATCCTGTCTCAGGGAAACAAGGTGAGGCATGAGGGCATCCCACATGTATGTGGGAGCTGTGGATGTGCACAGACATGTAATACTCACACATGTCTACAGGTGCTCAGACATTAATCAACTTAGTGTTTTATGTTAGTTGACCATTCGATACCTCAAACTTTTGAGAAGTTAACTTCATTAACTAGTTGTCAACTGTTATGAAACTGTGGGACTCCTAGCAGTGGGAGCAGGGCTGGTTTTTAGGTTCTGTTCCTCATACTAGGCTGCCATGCCCAGACTTGATACAATGGGAGGAGCTTAGCCCCACAACTTGATATGCTTTATTGATACCCATGGGAGGCCTGCCCTTTTCTGAACAGAAACAGAGGAGTGGATTTGGGGAAGGGGATGGAGGAAGGAGTGGGAAGAGAGGAGGGAGGGGAAACTGCAGCCAGGATGTAAAATAAATGAATAAATTTCACCAGTTTCCCAAACCCCAAAACCAACCTGTATCATTGACTTAAGAGCACAGCTCCTGATCACTAGGACCATGCCTTCTCAGTTGTACAGAATGCCATCTCTGAAGATAGTAACTTAAGCAGGCCAGTGTCCTGGACTCTTGATGAACATGTGGCTACAGCTCATTTTGTTTTTAAAGGAAAGAACTTGAAAGAGTAAAGGAGAAACAATTCATTATTTTTTAAAAAACAGAAAGCTTGTCTCTTGGTTCTCCAGGTAAACAGACACGACAAAAGAGCACACATTATTTGTATTAAATTGTATTTTCAGGAAGATTCCAAGGTTTGACATAGGCACAGAGAAAAGAGCGAACTAAAGCTAGTATAAACAAGTTCCTTCAGACTGACCTCTGAAATGTGTTAGAAAATACACAGTAGTCACGCTTTTAAAATATGATTGAGGAAAAATGTTTCAAGTCTTCTCAATCACTTAAAATACTTGTGAGCTAAACTCATACATTAAGGCAGATATTGATTTTTAAATACTCATCTAACTGATGAAATGTTTAATCTGCAATCAAAAGAGAAAGTTTTGGTTTAAAAAAAAGAAAACATTTTATTGCTACAAAGGTAACTGTACACAAAAGCTGTTAAGCCATCTTAATGCTGTTATTCAATGTAAAAACAAAACAAAAGAGAACAAAAAACCCACAATCAGGACAAAATACTTGCCCAATCCATCTCTTCTAGAGTAAGAATTCAAAAACTGAATGCACACTTAAAGTTTCACTCCCAAGAGCAGCATTTAAGTTAAATTGATTACAACAGATAGAGGAACAACACATATCTATTATCCTGAACACCAATACGGTAATAAGAATTAAGCTTAAAAATCATACAAACAATTTATCATATCTAAGTTTAGTATCTATAAAAACTAAACTGAAATCATCTTAACTTCATTTTATTAAACAAGTGCCAAACATTTAGAAATTATACAAAAAAAATTTTATAGGTGGAATGCATGCAACATGGTATCAATTAATATCATAATCTATTAAATGTCTTCTCTTTTCTACAGTAGGACAGGTGTAAAGCTCCACTCAGGTCTAACACACTACACCTGACTGTGCTCACACTGCTCAGCAGGACAGGAGGCAGACTCCTCCTTCCCCTCCTCCTCCTCATTCTCTGCTTCTCCCACGTTCTCATCATCCCCTGATTCTGCTGTTCCCTCCCCTCCCTCTAGATCTCCTTCTCCCTCCACTACTCCAGCTTCCCCTCCTTCCTCTTCTTCTTCCACCTCTTCTGTTTCCCCCACTTCCTCTACTTCTTCATCCTCCTCCTCTTCTTCCTCGTCCTCTTCTTCAATGGGTTCATCAATCTTCTCTTCATCCTCTTCATCTCCTTCTATCTGCTGATCCTGAGAATGATCTTGAATTTCAAAAGGATTCTCTCCCTAAACGAGAGAAAGTGGCACTTACAGTCAACACATTTGTTTTTCTATCAGTGATACTTGCTATGTCATGGAAAAAAATAGTATTTGAAGTTCTTTTTTTTTTTTTTTTTTTTGATTTTTCGAGACAGGGTTTCTCCGTAGCTTTTGGTTCCTGTCCTGGAACTAGCTCTTGTAGACCAGGCTGGCCTCGAACTCACAGAGATCCACCTGCCTCTGCCTCCCGAGTGCTGGGATTAAAAAACCGCCCGGCTTGAAGTTCTTTTTACTTTATGAGAAGCATATTATATACTTTTAAGTATCTACTTCATCCCAATATGAGTATATAGTTTATTAGTTATTTTACATACCATAAATTAGAGCACTCAAAAGGTCAAAATTTTGAACTGAATTCCTAAAATCATACATCGAAGCAGAACTGTGTGTTGTAATACAAACAGCAGCTGATGCAGATGATCTGCTCAAATACACCTACTCAATGTGCTTCTCTCTGAGGTCTCTTCAGAACTCAGTAAGAACCAAGTATCTCGATTTGGTCACTAGGTATCATGCCTTACATATTTACACTTCTAAAAACTAGACAAACATTTATTTGACAAACATTCACGGGTACAACTTTATCGTTTTTATTACTTTTATCTCCTGGGTGTGTGTGTACACAAACATGTGCGTGGAGAACAGACAACCAGCAGCAATAGGATTTCTCCTTCCAGAGTTCAAGGACTGAATGCTGGTCAACAGGCTTGAGGGCAAGTGCCTCTACCTGACTGCACCACCTCCTCAGCCCTACAATTTTATCTTAGTGATATTTATTTGGGTTAGGTCTCCTATAAACTGGTCATACTGGAAGACTATAGAATAAGGGAAATGAAGAGGCAGCGAAACTTATTAAGAAGAATCCACTAGGGCTGGTGCTACCTTGTAAGATGGATCAGACAGATGTGGGACATTAACAGAAGAGGTGCATTACGATGGGGAGACAGAAGTGGGTGGGTATGCCGCACACAACTAGAAGCTGAGGTCTGAATGTTTAATAGGCACCTATAAATTTTCAGCTCAAATAGAGTGCTCAAGTGAAATATTTACATTAATAGATGACTTGAATTAAGCCGAAAGTGGAATTAGCGTCCCACATGGGACAGCCTAAAGTGGACTACAGGAATAAAACCCTGAAGCAGCCTATACAGGAGCAGGAGTAAGAGAAGCAGAACACGATCTGCCAAAACCATAGCTTAAAGAAAAAATGATAAATGAGTAGTGTTAAACAGTAAAACAGATAAAGAGTCCATCATTATTAACAACGAATGAAGAAGGCTCCTAAGTATTTAGTTTTGCATGTTTTAAATAAAAAGACCTTAATTTTTGTGTGTTTCTATATTGCGTGCATGTATGTTCAAGTGTATGTGGAAGTCGGAGGACAACTTCTGCTGTCATTCCTCAGGACCGACTGTCTGTGCACCATGATTTTTGAGGCAGGGTCTCTCCGCAGCCTGAGGCTTGCCAATTAGGCTAGGCTGGCTCAGAGAGCCCCCAGGACTCTCCTATCTCCACCTCCCCAGCACTAGATAACAAACAAGCATCCCCATGCTCAGCTTTCTTAAATGGGTTCTGGGGCTCAAACTCAGCAAGTGGTTTACCAAACGAGCTAAGTCTTAAGCCCCAGTAAGTTGATTTTAAAGCACTCTGGTGACTGACCACTGATAACTCTAAGTCTGAGGAGGAGTACAGCCATGGCAGCTGTCCAAGGACACGTCTCTATCACTTGATGGACCCACTTCCTATTGAGCTGACAGAAGGCACACAGGGAAAGAAAGTTGTCAGCGCCTGGAGCTCTTTCTTACCAATAGTAATGTCTAGTCACTCAGAACTTCTGATCAAAATCGCCAGGTAGAAGCCTAGTAAGAAACACTTCAGGAGCTGGGAGTGGTGGCACTCACCTATAATCCCAGCATTCGGGAGGCAGAGGCAGGTGGATCTGTGAGTTCAAGGCCAGCCTGGTCTACAGAGTAAGTTCCAGTACACCCAGGACTATACAGAGAAACCCTGTCTTAAAAAAAACAAACCAAACAAACAAAAAATAGAAAGGAAGAAAAGAAAGACTTCAGGGTATAATAATTTGAAAAGCTTGGGAAATTAATTCAGAAGGTCTTTAAAAGGACTTGGGTAGTTTTCTACTTAACCACACCTTTCAAAAACACCCTGATGATACTCTTCCAGGCGAGAACTATTCAGTTACAGCACATCATAGGAAGTGAAGAGCCTATGGCAGGGCAAGCTATCTTTTGAAGTATGGTAAGAAAAGGTAGTGAAAAATGCAGGAGCCAGAGTCCAGGAAAAATGAGGTCACTATTTAGTTTAGGAAAATCCTAAGCAATATAAGATCCAAAGGGAGCGGGAGAATGATGAAACCAGACCCCCAGTGAAGGAGAAAATGGCAACAAAAGTGAGGGACCATATATAAATACACGCATAAATCTATGGTAGAAACTCACATTGCTCTCTATCTCCCTAATGCAAAAGAACATGGAAGTGGGGAGAATCAGGAAGAAACCTGGGCAATGTGAAAGAGGGAAGATTTGAAGTAGTAACTATGAAAGGCCCAAGACAACCTTAAAGAACAAAAATCAGACAAACGGGTTGGGGAAATAGCTCAGTCATAGAGTGTTTGTCACATAAACATAGGGACCTTGGTTTGAGCCTCAGAACTCAAACTTAAAAGGCAGGTCTAGTAACACGAGCTTATTATCCCAGAGTTGAGAAGGTAGAAACATCAGTCTCGAGAAATATGCAAGCCCCAGACCAATCACAGGTCCTGTCCCAAAAACAAGGTGGATAGCTGCTCCTGAGGTGACATGTTCAAGGTTGTCCTCTGGCATACACATCCACATCACCGGAAGCATGTACAATCTCACATACAACACACGTGAGTAAAACTAACATTTTTTTTATGAGAATTACGTTTTATTTTATATCTTCACTTTTATTATCATACAGTTGAACAGCTTTATTTTTCAAGATCTAAATGACCTATACTGAGACAAAAAGATAATTAAGAAATAATAAATATTAGTTAAAGAAAATTAACTGTGTATCAAAGGTTATTCTATTTTTTTTAATTTTTTTTTTTTGGGTGCACCCACACACTGACACAATGGGGATGTTCCTACTGGGAACTCACCAAAGACCAGCTAGCCTGGGTCTGGAAAAGCCTGGGATAAAACCGGACTCTCTGAACATAGCGGACAATGAGGACTACTGAGAACTCAAGAACAATGGCAATGGGTTTCTGATCCTACTGCACGCACTGGCTTTGTGGGAGCGTAGGCAGTTTGGATGCTCAACTTACTAGACCTGGATGGAGGTGGGGGGTTCCTTGGACTTCCCACAGGACAGGGAACCCTGACTGCTTTTCGGGCTGGGGGGGGGGGACTTAATTGGGGGAGGGGGAGGGAAATGGGAGGCGGTGGCGGGGAAGAGACAGAAATCTTTAATAAATAAATAAATTAAAAAAAATAAAGGAAAAAAAATAAAATAAAACTAACATTTTGATCTTTTTTACCTGTCACTGCTTTACGGTGAGGGAAAAAAATCTGCTCCCCTGTCCTTTGATTCCAATAATTAAGAGAAACAATATGCTACCTATAAGCAAAATAGTAAGTTTAAAGTTCTTCCCAGTGTGTGGTACTGTACTTATTTTATTTTATTTTTGTTTTGTTTGTTTGTTTGTTTGTTTTTCGAGACAGGGTTTCTCTGTGGTTTTGGAGCCTGTCCTGGAACTAGCTCTTGTAGACCAGGCTGGTCTCGAATTCACAGAGATCCGCCTGCCTCTGCCTCCCGAGTGCTGGGATTAAAGGCATGCGCCACCACCGCCTGGCATAAATTGTACTTATTTTAGTATCACAATATGACTCTATCACCATTTTAATTATACAACAAAAAAAACACTTCCTAAGAAGCTTTTGTTGCAGGGCTGGAGAGATGGCTCAAAAGTTAAGAGCACTGGCTGCTCTTTCAGGAGTCTTGAGTTCAATTCCCATCAACCACACAGTGAGTGGCTCTCAACCACCTACAATGAGATCTGGTACCCTCTTCTGGCCAGCAGGCATACATGCAGGCAAAACACTGTATACATAATAAATAAACAAATCTTTAAAAAAAACGCAAGAAAAAAAACCCGCTTTTGTCAGAAGTCTTACCTTAACAAAGCGCTCGTACCTCGCCTTCACGATTGGATTATTTAAGATGCTTGTAGCAGTCAGCACACTTTCTCTTTTTATTTGTTCCTTATAAGCCTGGAAAAACAGAACACAGTGAGACACTGGAAAGTTTAGAGATGTAAAGTGGTATTTTACACTCAAGAGTCCCTAGATTTAAATGACTTTTTATAAAAAGTTAAGCTATGAATAACTATAGCGACTGTGCTTGTAACCTAAATAATTCAAGAATTAAGACCATGAACTTTCATAAGCCAGTAAAAACACAGCATTCCCAGGTGAAAGTCTATCAAATTTTGTCAAAATAATCCAAAAATAACCAGTCTTCTTCCGGGTTTCTAAGTTATTACAAGAAGTATACAGAGGAGAAAGGGTAACAGCGTGTGTACCAGCAGACAGCACGGCTCAGTGTGTCAGCCTTGGGTGTGTGGGATTCACTTCACTATAAAACAGAAATTTAAGACTCAAGTCTTTTCTATTTAAATTTAATCTTAAATCATTAATTTTAAGTTTTTAAATACATTTTACATAAGAACACATTTCCTGCAATATAAGCACTCATGTCTCTTGAAGGAAAGCCAACTAGACCAAGCCCAGCATGAAGAGCAGAAATGGGCACTGAGAACAGGCAGGCAGGCAGGTGCTCAGGGATGTTCTATTCTGAAGTCATAATTAATAAGCACTAATGCATTTCTCCAAAATGAGAAAAATAAACGAGTTATAATAAATGCTGAATCTTTAAATATACTTCTCCAGCTACCAGAAAAATAGGCCAGTCATAATAAAAACTTCCTTTCCAATTTGTTCTAACGCATACATGTTCACAAAACCATTTTGTAGCAACTTAAAAAAAATAAATAAAAACAGCTAAACTCTGATTTCCTGAATGCTCACCATCACCACCCACTGTCTTACCGGGTACCACATGTTAGTCAACTGAATCCTTAAACAACAGTGCCAGTCTCAGCTCACAGACAGGGAAAGTTCGATAAGGAACTTGTTCCGGAGCCGTGACCGCAACTGTGACACAGCTGCCTCCCGGCAGACATGCAGCTGCTCCCATTTCAGATTAACAGCACAGGATTATGAAACGATGGCCAAAGGATAATTTTTAAAAGCTTACCTGCTTCCCTTTGACATGGTCAGGAGACTTTAGGTGCTGCTGGACGGAGCTATGGAAGGCAGGGATGTAGACGCTGCACGCACTACAGTGAACAGTCTCGACTTTCATCATGTGATCATCCGCAGTGACACCTACAGAACAAGCGCGTTAGGACACGCCCTCACACTCTTAGTTTTGACAAGTCAGGACCTTACTCATTCATCTGTATTCCTGACACCAGAAGGATCGGCGCATGTAGGCTCATGTCAAGTTCTTCCTCACATCTCACAGGGAGTTAACGGTAGTTGTGGATACTGTAAACCAAACTCTGGTCCTCTGCAAGAGCACCTGTTTCTTCACTGCGACATCAACTCTCCAGCCCACATCACAGTCTCTCATAGGCTATTCACCTATGCTTACAACTCTGTTAGTCCATAGCCTCAAAAAACATAAAGCTAAATGGATGCTATTTTCAGTAAAATAAGTTTCTGTTGTTATAAACATGAGTGGGCAGGAAAAGCAAAAAAGATGTATAGTATAGGTCTCAAGCTGTTGCGACCCCAACCCATAAAATGATTTTATTGCTACTTCCTGACTATAATTTTGCTGATGTTGTGAAGTGCAATGTAAACACTTCTGAGATAGAGGTTTACCAAAGAAGCTGGAGCCCACAGCTGAGAACTGCTACTCTACAGTGAAGAGGAGGAGGAAGAGGAGGATGTATAGTATAGGTCTCAAGCTGTTGCGACCCCAACCCATAAAATGATTTTATTGCTACTTCCTGACTATAATTTTGCTGATGTTGTGAAGTGCAATGTAAACACTTCTGAGATAGAGGTTTACCAAAGAAGCTGGAGCCCACAGCTGAGAACTGCTACTCTACAGTGAAGAGGAGGAGGAAGAGGAGGAGGAGGAGGAGGAGGAGGAGGAGGAGGAGGAAACTTCAAGTCATAATAAACTTGTAGGCATGGAAATAAGAAGTTAGGAAGTCTGTTTTGATAAACCAGTCAGAGCTATAGCAGGTACAGCTGTGAACTGCATCAATCTCAAAGGTCTCAGGTTATGATACATAAAATACAATTGTAAATTTACAAAACAACTTGACTACTCACCCTCCATAACATCCTTTTCAATTATTTTGTAAGCTTCTGGGTGATTAAGTGTCTGTTGCTTACGAATAGAAGCTTTTTTAAACTTATTCACCATACATTCCTAGAAAACAAACAATGCAAACTGTGTCAAGCAGACCGACCAAAGCTCAGCACCACACTCATCTTGTGGGGAGCACTAGCAGCGCAGGTGTTTCTGTCTGCAATACCTAATTTCCTTTCACAAGAAACCCACAATTTACTTAAGAGACTATCATGAAACACTAGCAAACTGCTTCACTTTCAAAATATCTTCTGGGCACCTGGAGAAGGATTAGAAGCTGCAGTGACCTCAGCTAAGTGGCCATGTCATAAATGACCGAGAAGAACTGTTATAGGATACTCACAGCAACACATTTTAACAAAGGACATAATTCTGCTGGATACAGAAGGCTGAGTGTGCGCTGTACTGTCAACTCTTTACCAGATCAGATTAGCTTTGTGCACAGTCAGCTCGAGCCTCTTTTTTAGTTTGTTTGTTTCGAGACAGGGTTTCCCAATAGCTCTGGAGTCTGTCCTGGAACTTACTCTGTAGACAGGCTGGCCTTGAACTCACAGAGATCTGCCTGCCTCTACCTCCTAAGGGTTGCTTGGATTAAAAGCATGAGCCACCACCGCCCGGCTTCGAACCTCTTGCAGTATCTTTTTGTTTTGTTTGTTTCTTCAAATCCCCCAAGTATCTATGCATTCTTGGCATTTCCACCTAAACAGACTATCTGTGCACCTGTGAACATGTTTTATTTTCAATTACAGTTGGTTCATTAACAATAAAGTTTGGGGTCTTCAAAATAATCTATTAAATTGATAACTACACAAGGAAAAGACACCAGACAGATGCCCGCCTCTCTGGCTCAGAATTCTGACTTTGATACCTATGACAAGGTCATTTAGCTTGTATGGACATGACCTTTCAATCATTCTTGTGGGGGAGGTTATGGAAGCTCATCCGAAATGAAGAATTCACGAAGATCATACTCCCAGGCACACAGTGAACTGTGCAGGAATGACAGATAGATCCAAATCATACAATGACTAAAGGAATTTTCTGACAATTTTCTCAGAAATGACTATGAAAAATAAATTCTCACACTAGAAATCCAAATTCTAAAATAGAATTAACGAATTAATTTTAACAACTTTCCTTAGATGAGTAATAATTAAATTTTTAGAAACATAAAAAGGTGAAAGAAATTATAAAAAATGAAATAAATTCAGATCAAATAAAATGCTTCTCATTTCAAAAACCCCTACTTACATGTAAAAATTCCATAACTACTTTATCAAATTTGGTTTGTTTCTGAATATGATCTAATGTTTCCTGGTGTGAAGAACTTTCCAGATGCAGTTCAATATCTTTTTCTTCAAAGGTTCGAAATTTACAAAATGAACATGTGAATGCCATTCTACAAAGAAAAGAAATTTTCTTTAGATATTACCTTATTCATTTAGATCCTCTAAAACTAATTTTAATGTCTGAAACAACTTTCTTTCGATTTTAGAACTCTTAAATTTAAGGCAGAGGAAAAGCTAATATTTCTTTAAGTACCTATGGACAACACAGTAACTGAAGTACTTTGTGTTTTAAACCCCTGGGTATAAAAAGGACCAATAAGGTAATGACCTCAAGCCTTGCCCATTCAAAAGCAAAAGTTAATGCAAAGCAGCATCAAGTTGCAAAATCTCACACAAATTTTACACTTTGGCCCATCCTCAAGTTTCTAAACCATCCACAAAGCCAGGTAAATACAAAACAACTATCCAATCCCACGGAACTCTGGGGATACACAGTCCCCCAACAGCCATCAGGATAACTGACAGGCCTAGACTGCACAAATATATGTTATTTTTTTTTCTTGTTTTTTTTTTAAAATATATGTTATTTAGAAGATGAAAATCCATCCAGAATTAATTCCTCGATAACTTTCCTACTTTCTTTTTTATTAGATATTTTTCTTTTACTGTTGAGATTATATCATTTACCCTTACCTTTCCTTCCTCCTATATACCCCTCCTTACTCTTTCAAATTATGGCCTCTCTTTTCATTAATTATTATTTACTGTTATATGCATATATATACATATATATATGTACTCACACACATATATTCCTAAATATATATGTGTTTATATACAAGAATAACCTCAGTCTGTATAATGTTTCTTGTATATATATTTAGAGGACTTATCATTAGGTATCAGATAATCAGCTGGTCTGTTCTTCCCTGAGGAAGAGGGACCACTCCTCCATTGCTGGTGGGAGTGCAAAATGGTACAGCCCCTTCGGATATCATTATGGCAATTACTCAGAAAATTAGGAAACATCCTACCTCAATTCCACTTTTGGGTATAAATCAAAGGATGCTCAAATGTACCACAAGTACATGTGTTCAACTATGTTCATAGCAGCATTATTTGTCATAGCCAGAACCTGGAAACAACCTAAATGCCCATCGACCGAAGAATAGATAAGGAAAATGTAGTACATTTACACAATGGAGTACTACACAGCAGAAAAAAAATAACGACATCTTGAAATTTGTGGGCAAATGGATGGAGCTAGAAAACATCATTTTGAGTGAGGTAACCCAGACCCAGAAAGACAAATATCATATGTACTCACTCATAAGTGGTTTTTAGACATAAAGCAAAGAAAAACAGCCTACAACTCACAACCCCACAGCAGCCTACAACTCACAACCCCAAAGAACCCAGACAATGAGGACCCTAAGAGACACACACATGGATCTAACATACATGGGAAGTAGAAAAAAGACAAGATCTCCTGGGTAAATTGGGAGATGGGGACCATGAGAGGATAGAAGGGGAGGGGAGGGCAGAGAAAGAGAGGGGAAGCAGAGAAAAATATATAGCTCAATAAAAACAATTAAAAAAAAAGAAGTATAAAAAAATGGATTCCTCTCAACCTACCTAACTAGCAGGTAAAGTCACAGATCTTAGAGGAGAACCTACAACCACCACTTTACTAAGCCAGCATAACCCTAACTACATCCTATCTTTAGATCCACAAATAAGTGATAGTCCTCATCCCTGAACAGAAGCCATTACAGAAAACCACACCCAGTAACAGCACAGTGCTGTGGAGCCCAGTCCTCTGATATCTACAAGAATAACCCCCACATCCAAGGCTCAGGGATCACTGTGGAAGAGTGGAGAGATTCTAACAGTCAGACGACCGGGGAGTGTGCTGTGAGACTGTTTTTCCTACTAATGTCAGAAGCTACACCACGTTTCACCAACATGACTGCCTAAACACGAGCTCAACAAAAGGACAACAGACAACATGCCAAAGTAGAAGAAGGAAAGACAACTTTCCCACTTTCTATGTATGCTGTTATTTCTTTTTCCTTACATTATGACAGCGGTCTCCTACCTGGGTTCTGACTCAGTTTCCATTTTCCAGGGATATTTTCACACCACTACTAGATTTATTTGCTGAGTTTATTTGGGAGTTAACTGCTCAGTTTATATCTATCTCCATTTGTGATCTTGGGCAAGTCATTGAACTCTCTGGCCTCAGTCTTATGTTAACGCAGTCTTAGATGTCACATGGAGCCCTAAGAAGCTCCTGTCACCTACCTGGTGGTGTTGGTGATGCACGCCTTTAATCCCCGCACTCGGGAGGCAGAGGCAGACGGATCTTTATGAGTCTGAGGCCAGCCTGGTCTACAGAGCTAGTTCCAGGACAGGCTCCAAAGATACAGCAAAACCCTGTCTCGAAAATACAAAACAAAAAGAAGAAGAAGCTTCTGTCACAGATTGAGTCAATTATTTAGTTACTTCCTACATCAGGCAATACACATTACTGCTTAATGCATCACTGACTCCTTCATACTCAAAAAACAAACATGAAAATGCCTTCAGCTGCTATCCAGGACAGTTTCTGATCTCTATTCTCCACCTATGCCCAATAATCTCATTTAATATAGCACATACTAGGTCTTTATTAAACGTCATGTTTATTTAATAATTATGTTACATTTTTAAATCACTAGTTCTTTTCAATTCAATTTTTTACTTTCCAAGTATCAGTAAAAAACCCACTTCTTTGCTTTGACCTTAAGACACGTGATCCACATGGACTGCTTCATATAATTCTTGTAATTCTACCATTCTTAGAGCAGCTCAAACACCACCTCCATCACATTGTCTCCTGGAATTTATTGCTACTAAGACTGACCACTCCGTATCTCTTCTGGCACATCTTAACCGTGCAATGCTGCTAGTGCACACCTCATGCATACACACCTCTCACCCAGATTCTCTGAAGTAGTATATATACACAGTCACCTTTGCCATATTGAAAGCATTCAAATAACAAAAGACCCATCCAAAAATAGTCATTTAGCATCCATCTCAAAACTGTTCTGATCAATTAAAATAATTGTACACACTACTGCAGATGGAATTCTCTGGGAGTGAATTTCTTTAACATGCCTTACATCCTGGTTTAATCATCAGTAGTTTTCTAAACCTAAGATACTGCAGGAATTTTTTAAGACTCATAATCTATAAAATGACAATTCAACTGAAATTGTTGTTTAGGGAAAAATGAGAATTTTATTTTCTCCAAATTGCAACATTTATTCTATATTCAAATTTTAATAGGAAAAGTACTCAGAGAATAATTAAATACAAACGTTGACCTTACAATGCACAATCATATTTAGACTCACATTTGTTTATTTCATTTCCACAATACAGTAACATATCTATTATCTATGCCAAAGGGAATTTAAAGAGAAAAGAAGCAAAAGAGGGCCAAAGATCAAAACAGCCCTGTTAAAACTGTAACTGCCAGACCTCCCCTGTCCTTCTTCGGGGTCTGGCCTAGTGAGTCTCCCTGACCATTCACCCCTTCTCCCCAGGCCCCACAACTAATATCCTGGCCTAGGTTTCTGCCAGAACATTCCCTACCTACAGGTCAACCAATAGGCTCCTCCACGTCACCTCCAACCTTGGCATCAAACTTGGTAAACGCCCCCATATTCCTGGCTTGGACCACTATGAAAAAACCAAACCTTCAAATTACAGACATTGATAAGAGAGATGAATCCGAAGTCAATGGCATAGACCAGTTAATCAACAAGATTACAGAAGAAAAACTTTCCCAAACCAAGGAAAGACACACCCATACAAATACAGGAAGTACACAGAACACCAAATAGACTAGACCAGAAAAGAAATTCCCTATGGAATATCACAGTTAAAACACTAAGTATAGGCCGGGCGGTGGTGGCGCACGCCTTTAATCCCAGCACTTGGGAGGTAGAGGCAGGCGGATCTCTGGGAGTTCGAGGCCAGCCTGTTCTACAACAAGAGCTAGTTCCGGGACAGGCACCAAAGCTACAGAGAAACCCTGTCTCGAAAAACCAAAAAAAAAAAAAAAAAAAAAAAAAAAAACACTAAGTATATATACATAACAAATAAAGTGAATTGAAAGCTGCAAGAGAAAAAACGCAAGTCATATATAAAGGAAAACTTGTCAAAATAACAGCTAGTTTCTCAATGGAAACTCTGAAATCCATATAAGTCTGGAGCAATACAGTCCAAGTCCTAAAAGATCAGTCAGCTCAGACTAATATACCCAGCAAAACTATCTGCCATGATTGAAGGAGGAAGAAAAACTTCCCACATTATAAGCCACATAAAAACATCCAATAGGGCTGGAGAGATGGCTCAGTGGTTAAGAGCATTGCCTGCTCTTCCAAAGGTCCTGAGTTCAATTCCCAGCAACCACATGGTGGCTCACAACCATCTCTAATGAGGTCTGGTGCCCTCTTCTGGCCTGCACACACACAGACAGAATATTGTATACATAATAAATAAATAAACATTAAAAAAAAATCCAATAAACCAAACTTAAGGAAAATACAGGAAGCAACAGTTTGGGATGAAGAGAAGAATGAGCATAGCAAAGACTGTAGAAAGAAATATAAAAGCATAACCATTAAAACACAAAGTACCACTGAGAACACAAACAAAACCAAGACTGCAATTAAAACATACATTTCAGGGGTTGGAGAGATGGCTCAGTGGTTAAGAGCACTGACTGCTCTTCCAGAGGACCAGGATTCAATTCCCAGCACCCACATGGCAGCTCACAACTGTCTGAAGATCCAGTTGCAGGGGATCTGACACCTTCACACCAATGCACATAAAATAAAGTTAAATAAACCATAAAAAAATATTTAAAACCATAAAAAAACATACATTTCAATGATAACTTGAAGTATCAGTGGCCTCAATTCTCCAACCAAAGGACACAGGCTGACTGAATAGACCAAGAAACAAAGTTCATCTACCTGCTGTCTATAAGAAGGACATCTTATCTTTAAAGACAGGCACTGCCTTAGAGTAAAAGGATGGCCAATGTACTCTAACA